GTTTTAGGTTGACTTACAAAATCTCTCCAGGGACTACAGATCAAAAATAGCCTCTGGCACATTTACAGAAATGTTGATCAATGCGCACTGTCCCTGTTAAAGATACATGAATACATCTGTAATTAATGTTGTGTTTTATATATTTTAATTGTGTTGTTTTACTCTGTAAAGTGTCTTTTACTACAACTACAACTTCCGTATCAGTCCGTGACGTCACTGGGTCTAGAAAGACTTTCTCCCATTGACTAACATGGGGAAAGAGACGTCTGCAAATCAGCGGATGATTAAATAAACTACCCAGTGAACTATGTTATAGCCCTTATTAGAATCATTAGGTCCTGAGAGTTGTAAAATGCACTAAAAGCTGAATCCAGATTTATTTTCTCTCTCCATTCATTCCACTGAGCCGAGAGTGGGAGCTCGGGGGGGCGGGGCTTAAGGGAAACTCAACTCTATGAGCTACATACAGGTACTTCTGCTCTGACAGCAAGGCATGATGGGTCATCTGTGACGTTTTGCTCTGGAGAATGTCTGGCCATTTTGTCCTCATGAGCCAATGAGCAGCTCTCATAGGAATGAACGAGGCCTCCGACGCTGTATCCAGTTCTTATGAAACATCCATGGGCTGAGCACGCAGCCCTGAGGTTCTCCAGTTCTGAGGGTCAGGGTGGAGGATGTGATGTTTCCAAAACACTTGGGGTATAATGTTCGAACAATGTTATCACCAAACATTTTAAGAATGTTTTTAGAGAACGTTATCCTACCTTTCAGAAGTACATTCTAGGAACCAAAATAAAACTTCTCGATGAAACCATTCCTAGAACAATGAATGGTAACATGCTCAGAATGTTTTTAGAACCACCAATGTCTAGCTGGGAACTCAGACATGCCTACGCAAACATGCAATATCATGAATTACATGCTTTTTCTAAAAGGAAAATGTGGTGACATCAGATTTTTTTTAAACATCCTTTTCAAACAAATGCAACAAGTTTGTATTTTAAAGCGCACTACAAATAAATCTGACGTTGACCATAACCGTGTTAGTATTTCGCATCACAGAAACGTTTAAAAAAAAAAGAATAACCTCCTGAAAACATTATCCAAATGTTGCTTTGAAAATGTTCTTCTTTGGTTATCATGTAACATTGAGGGAACGTTTTATAAAGAACATCTTTAATGTGTTACCCAACAACGTCCAAAACACATCCTTAGAATGTTGCAGGCAAAACGTTCCACCTTTGTTAACATATCACATTAAAGGAACGTTTTATAAAAAAACGTTGTCATCTCAGGCCTCAATAACATCCTGAAAACATCCTCTGAATGTTGCAGTTAAAACGTTATGTCTTAGTTAACCTTAAACCTTATAGGAACATTATTTGAAAAAATAAACATCTTAAAAAGGTTCTTTGAACATCAGATTAAAAAGTTTCTTTAAAACCTTATTAGAACCAATAGGTAACGTTAGCCAAAGTTGTGAGAACGTTCCCCGCTAGCTGGGTATGCACCACTGAGTATCAAAGTGGGTTTAAACAACACAAAGCCTAGTGGCTTAACAGCATTAGCATTTTTCTTTTTTCTTTAAATGTATATGTAAAATGATGTTTAAAATAAATGAAGATACTCTCTGTACTCTTAAAGGCACAATGTCAGCAGGTCAGGTCCTCAGCAGTTCTGGAGCCCTCTCTCATCTGTGGCCCGTCTGGTCAGCTGCTCCAAAAGATCAGTTTGGAGGCACAGCAGTCCTAGACTTCTTAGCCGGAGGAGGAGAGGTAGACCCTTCCTCCAGCTCCCTAGGACTAATGTCAAAATAATTTTCTAAATGTTCTGTAACATACCAGCGAGGTGGTTCTCTCTCATTACTGCGGAGTCTAAGTGAGAGACCTCTCCTAGATGCTGGCAACACATTATCAGTTAACTCTTCTCTCTGATATGAGTGACTATTATTAACCATCACTCAACAGAACGTCTATAAAGGGGCTGAAACATTTCAATAGTAAATATCAGTAATTTTAATCTACTCGGTTTTTAAATTCATTTCTACCAACCAGGAGTTGGATAAACACCAGATACAAAAGGAGTTGGTCAAAATCTCCAAAGTGAGCAAACCTATTCTAATGACTTTTAGCAGCTCAAAAACCTTCTAACATGATTCTACTTATTGAACTGCTCCCTGATAGGAAGAAACTAATAACACAACTGAACTCTCCTTTCTGCTCAAAATGGATAAATCAATAAACAACTCAGCGTTGGCCGATTGATAAGACCATTTAGCCAGTTTCTAATAAGTAAAATAGGGATAGCTAAGATCAAAGTCACAAATCCCCCATTCTTTAACGACTTTGGGGTAATGAAAACTAAATACAAAAATAGTCAAAATGATTCCAATCAGGATCTCTTGCATTGACTGGGATGAAGCATTCTCAGAGGTAAAGTTCTGTCTCTCCATTACGTACTGTCACTGTCTCAGGTCCAGAGAGTAGTGAGAGTATGTAAAGGCGGGGGTGCTGATCTCTATCTCGGAGCTGCATGTCAAACCACATCAACATCCGGTGCTTAGCCTGCAGCAAGGAGGAGAGGCAAAAGAGGAGGAATCTCCCTCGAAGCAGTTTTGAACATTTTCTTTATATTAAGTATTCCAGTATTGTATGTTGCAAGTTTTCATTTGATTGTATTTACTTGTTTGAATTAAATTTGTTTCAGGTTGACTTACAAAATCTGTCCAGGGACTACAGATCAAAAATAGCCTCTGGCACATTTACAGAAATGTTGATCAATGCGCACTGTCCCTGTTAAAGATACATGAATACATCTGTAATTAATGTTGTGTTTTATATATTTTAATTGTGTTGTTTTACTCTGTAAAGTGTCTTTTACTACAACTACAACTTCCGTATCAGTCCGTGACGTCACTGGGTCCAGAAAGACTTTCTCCCATTGACTAACATGGGGAAAGAGACGTCTGCAAATCAGCGGATGATTAAATAAACTACCCAGTGAACTATGTTATAGCCCTTATTAGAATCATTAGGTCCTGAGAGTTGTAAAATGCACTAAAAGCTGAATCCAGATTTATTTTCTCTCTCCATTCATTCCACTGAGCCGAGAGTGGGAACTCGGGGGGGGCGGGGCTTAAGGGAAACTCAACTCTATGAGCTACATACTGGTACCTCTGCTCTGACAGCAAGGCATGATGGGTCATCTGTGACGTTTTGCTCTGGAGAATGTCTGGCCATTTTGTCCTCATGAGCCAAGGAGCAGCTCTCATAGGAATGAACGAGGCCTCCGACGCTGTATCCAGTTCTTATGAAACATCCATGGGCTGAGTACGCAGCCCTGAGGTTCTCCGGTTCTGAGGGTCAGGGTGGAGGATGTGATGTTTCCCACCCGCACTGCCTGGTATCTGCCCGTCAGGAAGTTCAGGATCCAATCACAGAGGGCGCTGTTGAGCCCAATTGTCACAATCTTATGAAGGACCCAAATGCAGCACTCGAGAAACCAAGGAGTATTGGTAATGTACTTTATTGGTAATAATACCAGAGCAGAGGGATACCAGCAGAACAGGAACAGCCGGATGATGTGCAGGCAAACGAACCAGAGGACAGCGGGCAGAAGGTGAGTCAGGGCCGGGCAGAGGGTCAGGGGTCAGGGAGCAGACGAGGCGGGCAACGTGGTGTTACATGTTACATGTTGCTGCATGTTACATGTTCCTGCATGTTACATGTTACATGTTGCTGCATGTTACATGTTGCTGCATGTTACATGTTACATGTTGCTGCATGTTACATGTTGCTGCATGTTACATGTTACATGTTGCTGCATGTTACATGTTGCTGCATGTTACATGTTACATGTTGCTGCATGTTACATGTTACATGTTGCTGCATGTTACATGTTACATGTTGCTGCATGTTACATGTTACATGTTGCTGCATGTTACATGTTACATGTTGCTGCATGTTTCTGTAAAGCTCTTCTGATCTGAGGGATGTTTTGTTGTTTCTTTCTAACTTGTGATGTTGTAAAGCACGTTGAGCTAGGGCTGTGCAATTAATCGTATTTTAATCGCAATTACGATTTTGGCCTGCTACAATTACGAAAACAACATAATCGAAAAAAACGATTATTTAGCTTTGCTTGGTTTTGACTGCACTGCAACATATTTGATCTCATTTATTTTAGTCTCATTTATTTGTATTTATCATATTTACATATGTTTAGTAGCTTGTTGAAGTGCGCTCCAAAATATTTGTTGATCTCGTTTATTGGTATTTATTATTTAAATGTAAATATAAATGTATAATTTAATTTATTTATTTTTGTATTGGTTTTTCAGTTGAATTATACGTTCAGGGTAATCAACAGTTAAAAAGATACTGTTCAAATTATTATTTGTATTTGTTTTAAAGTTCAATAAATGGATGTTTTCAAAGTCAATGAATAATCGTATTTAATAATCATGATATCAATTATTGACCAAAATAATCGTGATTATGATTTTTGCCATAATCGCACAGCCCTACGTTGAGCTGCATGTGCTGTCTGCAAAGTGCTGTATCAATAAAGCTTTATTCTTCTTCTCACATGTGCTCCTCTGGTCCAGGTGGGAGACCTGTTATGCAAACTGCAGATTATTGTTATCATCAACGTGTGCCTTTCCACTCGTAACCCTTTCAGCACACCCTGTGCAGCTAACCCCGTCACCTTCAACACTTCATCATGAATCTAAACTACTGACATGCCAACAACAAACATCAATGGCTCCTACAATACGCACAGGGCTTTCATTGTGAAAGGGAGGAGAGGATCTAGTCTGTTTGCCGTCTTGATTATATATTATTATTAATATAGACTCAATGTGATGTTGCCTTTATTAGAGCTGAAGTCTCAGGGAAATGGACCTTGTTTTGGACAAATCTCCCCCGGGGTTTGAAGGCCTCTACAGAGAGTCTCTGTCACATGATCAGGGTTATCTGTCACATGATCAGGGTTATCTGTCACATGATCAGGTTATCTGTCACATGATCAGGGTCATCTGTCGGCCAGGTCTTCAGTGTGCTCAGTGGTTCAGTTCTATAGAAGGAGAAAGAGTTAGAGGACATTCTGAGGACATTCTGAGGACATTCTGAGTCTCTCTGCATGTGTTGAACGGGTCCATTACAGATGATATTAAAGTATATATAATACTGTCTTTAACTTCTCTGAGCTGCTTTTCTGAGGAACTGATGACGAAGATGCTGATGGTTTCCAGATTACAGAAACTGTTGGTTTCCTGTTTCCATGACACCAGGCTGTCAGAGTCAGATCAGATTCAACTTTAACACGAAGAAGAGCAGAGGAAACGCGTCATAATGCATAATGAGTATTTTTAATTACACACACGCACATGCACAAACACACACACACACACACACACACACACGCACACACACACACACGCACAAACACACACACACACACACACACACACACACACACACACACACACACACACACACACACAACGCACAAACACACACACACACACACACCACACACACACCCACACACCACACACTCACAAACACACACACACACCTAAACACCCACACACACCACACCACACACAACCACCCACCACACACAACCCCCCACCACCCACACCCACCCACACCCCCACACACTCACACACCACACACTCCAAACACCCACACACCCACACACACCCACAACACACACCACACACCCACACACTCACAACCCACACACACACACACACACACACACACACACACACACACACGTATGAATGTATAGGTGAATACAGCAGTAACCTGTATATCTGTATATATTTAATACATGTAAATAGTGTTTGTAACTGAACGTGTGAGAGTCTCTGATGTCAGGCTGACATGAGGCTGCAGACGTTGTGCAACACGCTGCTTGCTCTTATCACTGGTTGGGTCATGTGACTTTAAGTACTAATCGGTTTTTAAAACATTTCAAAGATATTGTCACGTTCCCTCCAAACTAGTGGGACAGAGGAAAGTAACACCATGTACAAATACCAGGAGAGAGAAAAGAGTTTCTAAATGAGTAGATAATGTTTCATTGTTCAAAGAAAGGAAGAAGGCTCAGCAGCAGTTTACCCAACACACTGAAAGGCCTTATGAGGTCCTGATCTAACCTGACACGTGGTTTGATGCGTTGTGTGGACGCTCATGATGTTCTGTCTGCAGCTGAAAACTAAATTAAAGTAAGAACTTAAAAAATATATTTATGAGAAAATCTATAAATAAATTCAATGAAATGAAAAATTGTAATGTCTTTATTCATGAATTGACTTGTTTTTCTTTATTTCTGTGTCACGCTTAATACTTGGACCATTCCACATATGATTATCAGACAGATTATTTTACATACAGTTTACAGACTTGCATGTACAAACATTTGAAAAAGGTAAACAAAACAAAAAGAACAAACAAACTAAAGAAACAACAAAGTAAGTATTATAAATGAGCTACATAAAAACCGACTCATTTCTGTTTTTACTAATACTTATACATAATGTCTTCCTTTTAATATTGTGTTTTGAAAGCCACACTGTACTTCGTTGGGCTGCCTCAGTGGGAAGCAGGGATTTCCGAGGCGCTCCTGAAGGCAGCATGTAGTGCAGAGGAACGGGCGTGAAACATATGGAAGTGTGTGTGTGTGTGTGTGTGTGTGTGGTGTGTGTGTGTGTGTGTGTGAGTATGCGTGTGCGTGTGTGTCCGAGGAATTTCCGAGGCGCCCCTGAAGGCAGCATGTAGCGCAGAGGAACGGGCGTGAAAGATATGGAAGTTTTTATTTAGCGTGAGAAGATAAACAGTTGATGAGGGGATAAAACTAATAACAGGTCATCACTGTTAGACGCTTTTATCCAAAGCGACTTACATACTCAATACTGAGGGCAATCCCCACAGGAGCACTTTGGGGTGAAGTGTCTCAGGGACACAACGACATGCTGACTGCAGTGGGGTTTGAACCTGAGCTCCCCTGATCCCAACACCAACACCAACACACTAGCCCACTGCGCCACACGCCTCCCCTTATATATTATTATATTTGCATTATATTGCTCTCCCCGACCACATGAGAGCACCACAGACAGTGGAGGCTTTTAAAAAAGGCTTCAAAACCCATCTCTTCAAAAGAGCCTTTGCCTAGACCTTCTTACCACCCTTTTATTTTATTTTATTTCTATTGTTTTTTTTAATTTTATTTGTATTGCTTTTTATTAATTCTACAGTGTTGTGTAATGTTTATTTATACTGTTCATGCTCACTGCTTGTAGCACTTCGGGATTTGAAATCAAATATGAAGTGCTTTATAAATGGAACCCATTATTATTATTATATCGTATCTGAATAAAGAGGATTGGGCCGTGAATACAGGCTCGTCTGTTTCCAACAACAATTGAAAAAAATTAAAATAAATAATAATACAAAATAATAATATCTTTAGCATTAGCCATATGAAATCTAATAAGTTTGCGAATGCAACCATTTGATTCCTCGATCAATGAAATACATTTGATTACTTTTCTAAAAAAGGAAAATATGTGTTAATTAGATCAAAGAAAATGTAAGATAGAAAGAGAAAATATAGATAACCTGTTTGTTTTCAGCAACATTTAGATCAGTTATTAGATCAGAAACACACTTCTTCTCTCTGGCCTTCTAGTTAGAGCGGAGCACGACTCCTGACTTTTCCCTGTGTTTTTTTTTAATATATATATCTGTTGTAATTTATTGTCTTTTATTGTGATTGTAGTAATGTGTTTTTATTACATGTACAGCACTTTGGCTCGACCAAAAATCGCTTTTAAATCTGCTTTATAAATAAAACTTGATTTGATTTGATTTAGTTATTTATTCAATACATATTTTTCTCAATAACTAAATAAGTAATATTTTATTTATTTGAATTTGTATTTATTACTCCCCGACACTTGGGGTCTGTGGCTCTGATTGGTTCGCTGGCCGGTTCTGTTGTGATTGGTCAACCTGCTTAGAGATGTCCCGCCCCTTAGCGTACGCGTACAATGTGTTGGAGCGCTAGCCAATAGGAGCGCGAGGGTTGAAACACCCCACAGGAATAGGGCCCCTTTAAATGACTGGAACACATCAGGATTTGACCTCTGACCTCCTGTGACCTTCATAGAGAGATGGAGGTCATAAAGAGAGATTTATGAGGAGGGTCACTATAACCCCCCCCCCCCCCCATGCTTTATTACTGACCCCCACCATGTGTTACTCTATAGTCATATGAAGAGGTGGAGAGTAAAGGACATTTAATTAAGTAGTGTATTGAAGTCCACCTGTGGTATTATTGTTATATATTATTTTATATAATCACACACACTTTTTAGGCCGTGATGGTTAATAATCCAGATTTAAAAAAAGACCACACACACACACACTAGAGGAGTTTAGAGGATAGCAGAGGACAGCAGAGGACAGCAGAGGACAGCAGAGGACAGCAGAGGACAGCAGAGGATAGCAGAGGATAGCAGAGGATAGCAGAGGATAGCAGAGGATAGCAGAGGATAGCAGAGGATAGCAGAGGATAGCAGAGGATAGCAGAGGATAGCAGAGGATAGCAGAGGATGCTGAAGTCATTTTCTGGGTAACACTCAGACTCTCTTGCCGTCACACTAAATCTCTCCGTGAAAAGACTACAGGCTCTTTCTTCAATTCTCCACAAGGTCTCCAGATCCATCCTGAGCTCACAGACAGGTCAGTGAACTCCCCACCGACCCAACGACTGACACTGAGGGGACAAGCATCTGTGTTTCCCTGAAGACTTCACATATGCCCTGTTTCTCTAAATTAACCAGATTATTTATGCAGAATTAGGAGAAAAGTATTCATTAAAAAGGGAAGAAACTGAAGCAGATTGAACAGCTTGCTTGGAGGAATTCTTATCGTAATTAAGAGCTTCTTTTCAGATATATTTATTTATATGTTTGCATGAAAACCAAGCCCCCAGGAAGTGCGCCGGACTATGATGAAAATATTCGTTGTGTCCAAACGGCGGTACTGCAACTCCCGTATCAGTCCGTGACGTCACTGGGCCCAGAAAGACTCTTTCCCATTGACTTACATTGGGAAAGAGACGTCTGTAAATCGGTGGATAATTTTTTTTAAACTACCCAGTATGAACATTTGTATCGCCCTTATTAAAAACATTCGGTCCTCAAGTTGTAAAATGTGCTAATAACGTTATTCTGAGAGTTATTTTCCTCGGCATTATGAACACACATCTGAGTGGGAGCTCGGGGGCGGGGCTTAAGGGGCGACTCACCTGCGCATGCTCTATGAGCGCACATACGGGTTCTTCTGCTCTGACAGCTAGGCATGATGGGTAATCTGTGACGTTTCGCTCTCTCAAAAGTTGGGCCGTTTTGTCCTCATGAGCCAATGTCAAAAAAGTCAGTTTGTCGTAAAACTGTTGAAATATAAGACTATGAAAAATACGCAACTAGAAAGACTACAAATCCCAGAGTCGCGTAAGTGACGTCATTAACGTTACACATTACACTCGTGTTACTCAACGAAACCTTGTAAAGCCGGTCCTGCATGCTGGCTCTTAGGAACCGACTCACTCCCCTTGTGTGTATGTACAGCTCTCAACATGCCCAGACTTGGAGTGATTTTCACCTCTTTTAATACTTTCCGCCTCATTCTGAAAGAAAAACGTGAAATGTGCCAACGTGACGGCCGTCTTGGTGTGTGGTGCGAGACGGGAGATGTAGTTCATTGAGCGGTTCACACGAAAAAATGTGTTACTTCAGTTTTACGACACGTTTTTATTTTTTTGACTTGCAAAATGATCTTTTAAATTGACAAACATCATATGTGTAATTCGTGGCTCAAGATAATCTTTCTCTCTCCATTGACTTCAATACATACTTTTTCCAAAATAAGGTCCCATGGAGGTCCCCCGGAAAGGGAGGGACTTCGCCACTCTATAGGAAAGAACGAGACCCCGCCTCCCACGCTCTATCCAGTTCTTATTAAACATCCGTGATGAAAACCTTAGTCGTTATCTTGTTAATTCAGAGAAACAGAATGCATTGAGCGTTCAAACATTGAAAATAATAGAAGAGGTCATTTATAAATGTACCTTACACTGACATGGAAGTGAGGTGGGAAATAAAAACTGCTCCGGTTCTTAAAAAAGTCTTTATTTAGTATAAAGATTTACAATAGTTAATTTAAAATCATATAGGAATCATTGTTATTATTACAGTCGTGCTACACACGGACATCTCTTCGTGCTACACACGGACATCTCTTCGTGCTACACGCGGACATGTCGTCGCGCCACACACGGACATCTCTTCGCGCCGCACGCGGACATGTCGTCGCGCCGCACGCAGACATGTCGTCGCGCCGCACGCAGACATGTCGTCGCGGTCCCGCCGCACGCGGACATGTCGTCGCGCCGCACGCGGACATGTCGTCGCGCCGCACGCGGACATCTCGTCGCGCCGCATGCGGACATCTCGTCGCGCCGCACGCGGACATGTCATCGCGCCGCACGCGGACATGTCGTCGCGCCGCACGCGGACATGTCCCCACAATGCTTTGCGCACGGACCAATTTCCAAAATCTTTGGCGGAAAATGTAAGGCGGGGCCTCTCATATGACGCACACCTGCACACTTGCTAGCCTGTTCCATTCTTCCTTCTCAGAATGCCAGGAAGGATTCTTGCCTCGCCTCTGAAGGACCTGACTCTGAAGACAAGGAAGCGTCCTCGACATTGAGAAACACCCAGAGAGAGCGACACAATGTATGAGAGAGAGAGTGTGTACACGTATAAGACAAGCAAAAAATATATAAGGAACATTTTCAAAAAATATGTAGAAAATGTCCAAAAAAATTACAAATTTGAAAGAAAAATATCTAACATGTTTAAGAATAAATGAAAGATGTTTGAAACACATTTCCAAAAAGATAATGAAAAATGTCAGAACATTTTGTGAAAATTCTGTCTGTCAGTAATTTGAGATTATTTAAATCAACCTTTGGCGTTGAGTTGAAGATAAAACGTATTAATTGTATATAAATATATATTTCCCTGACCCTCCTGGTACGCTCCGTCGGCCATCACCAGGTGCAGGATGTTGGGGTAGAGGTGCTGGTGCTCCGTCCCCAGAGTGCTGAACACCAGGCTGGAGCCCAGAGCCATGTTCTCATCCTCGTCCTCATGGATCGCCTGTAACAACAAACAAGTCATCATCAGGTCTGTTTATCCTCATGTTGAATCATTAAAAAGGTCCCTTGCTTTATAAAGGAGTAAAATACAGGACAGAAGGTCGATGTGTATGATATGTTGTTGTTGTTGTTGTTGTCCCCACTTTGATCTTGTTGTAGGCCTCGATGAACTTCTCGAAGCCCATCTGCTGCTCCAGTCTGAATCTCAGCTCCTCCAGACGGCTGAAGATGCTGTCGCTGTGAGACGCCTCGCACACCCCCTCCTCCCCACTGCCGTCTGTAGGGGACATCGACATTTACAAACATCTACAGCGGGGCATCAGCGAGAGTGGAGGTAAAGAATAAGAAAACATTCCAAAGGTTTAAAAAATATATTAAAAAAAATTAATGGAATTGTTTTTTTATTATTTTAACAAAACAAAAACATTCTGAAAATATTTTATCACAAAAAAAATTAAATCTGGAAAAGATTTCATAAAAAACTGAAAATATTCGAAAAAATTCGGGAAACTTCAACACGGGATTTAAAAACATCTACAACGGGGTATCAGGGAGTTTGTAGGTAAAGAATAAAACTAAACAGAGGCATCATTTCTTACATTAACGTGATAAGACTAGGAGAGATACGTTTAAATGAAAAGTGAAGCCATGTTGTGGATTTACAAAAACACAGTTTTCTGATCTTCTGAAACATTTAGAAGAAAACAACAACAACAGAGAAACTCCAACAAATTTCCCCAAAAATTATTTCTGTCTTTTTCCGGAAGAATTTTGTTAAAATAAATGAATAAATTCACCGGAAAATGTAAAAAAAAAAAAACAGGAGTTCAAAAAATATTTTATAAAAAAGTTTGGAAAATATTGGTTAAAATAAAGAAATCTGAAAAAGTAAAAAAAGAAATAGGAAAATAAAATTCGGAAAATAAATTATCCGGAAAATGTAAAAAAAAAAAAAGGAGTTTGGAAAATAGTGGTTAAAGTGGACCTATCATGCTATATTATAATAATATAGTGTAGGACCATACCTATATAAGGCATATTTATACTTTTTTTTTTTCAAAATACCAAACAGATCATGCTTTTTAGCCATGCCTCATTTCGCTCAAATTGACAATTTCTAGCTCTGTTTTAGCAAGGGCAGATTCTGTGAGAACAGCACCATCTACAGGCCTGGCATATGTACTACAGCGTCTCCAGCGCTTTCGAACGGCAATGGCCGTGGCTGTCTCTTCCTGATTGGTGGAGTTGGCCCAATAGCCGTAACGCCACCGTCCTGACGTCAGGACAGTGTTCAAATCTGGATCAGTTTTTATCAGATCCGTTGCAGCCCCTTTTTTAGAGATTTGGGTATGGAGGAAAATAGAGAGGGTTGTGTTTTCTGACACTTGGTGAGTTCCCTGGAACACCGGGGACACATATTCATGTAGAAAAGACGTACAAAAGTGCATTTTGCATGATAGGTCCCCTTTAAATTAAAAAGATCTAAAAAAAGAAAAAAAGGGAAGTCCTGAAAATATTTTATAAAAAAAATAAAAATTCTAAAGAGATTTGATCAAATACAAGAAAACATTCTCAAAGATTAAACATTTAGGAGTTTAGAAAAGTTTGGTTAAAATAAAAAAAGAAAGAAAGGAAATTATCAAAACAAAAGAAAAAGTAAAAAAATTAAAAAAAAATTCTGGAAGATATTTTATCAAAAAAAATGTAGTTTAGGGTTAGGAGGGGTTTCAACCTTCACATGTAACATACAACAGTTAATGATGTAATCTGTAAATGTGTTGAATAACTTTACGACCTTAATGTTTGATTTATTTAAATCTGATTTTCTCTCTCAGCTCTGAAGTTTGTAATTTCTGCATTGTGTGTCCGATGGCCCTTAATGTCAATATATAATACTAACTGAATAATTATTATTATAAAACACTTTTTTTTCAAGATTTTGAAAAAAAAAGAGAAAAGAAACATTCGGAAATATTTTATCACAAATAATACTTAAAAAAAGAAAAATAAGAAATCGGAAAAGTTTGGTTAGAATAAATCAATCGGAAAAAGTAAAAAAATAAATATATTTAAAAATAAGAATATTTTGCATCAAATGTTGGGAAAATACTGAATGTCCCTTCTGTATCAGAGTGGCACGTGATAACAGAGGCCCCACGTAGCTGTGTACGTAGCCGGATGTCTGACTACATGATGACGCTCATGAGACACTGTGTTGAAGTTATGAGAGCTCTGTTCCTAAGATTGGCAGATGACACAGAATCTAGAGAGACATATGACTGTCATGTTTATTGCTTACGCAGCCTTTAGCTAATCTGAACTAATGTCAGAATACTGCTCTGAACCAGGAGTCCTCCATCTTGTTGACTGTAACTCCCTCTCTGGTATATCAGCATATCAAGGACTCTACTCTGGGAACTATTTGTCCCATGCAGCTCTGTGTGTGATGACTACTTCCATTCCAGAGGATAATAAATACATGTATCCTGAGATTGAAGCTCAAGCCGGTGACCAGTGAGATTTTTCTAACATCATATATCAAACATATAACACTAACTGAATTATTATAATCTCCGTACCTGATTGCCACTCCTCGTTGAGCTCGCTGTTGCTCAGGTTCTCCTCGGCCCCGTTAGTGAGCGGCCTCCGGCCTCTTCATCGTCATCTTCCTCCTCTTCCTCCTCTTCCTCCTCGTCTTCATCATCCTCTTCCTCATCATCCACAGCCATCCTGCAGTCCTGCTGGATCTCAGCTGATATCCTGAACAGTTCCTCTGGAGGGTTCCCGTTGAAGTCTCCTTTCCCCTCCTCCTCCTGCAGGAGAAGCTCCATGGAGGCCCGGATGTCCCGCAGGTCTTCATCCTCATAGGCGCTGAGGAGCAGGGGATATATTATTACTACAGCTCATCTCTGACGGCTAGAAACCAGGGACAGCATCAGGGTGAGGGTAGCAGCAGGTTATTATGGGATGTCTCGGAGATGGAAATTGTAAAAAGTGACATTTCCGTCAGTTTATGTTTTTCTGACGAATTATGGGTGACAAACTCTTCCAGGGGAAACATGGCTTTATTCTAGATGTCTCATTTAAAAGATAAATCCTGTAAAAACATTAAATTCTGCGCTCCTCTGTTAAACCGTGAAGCCATGGATGACTCTGCTGAGACCTACAGTCATGTGACAACAATTCAGTAAATATATTACATTATGTCAAATATATTATCATTAAAAAATTCGATTTGCTTCTTTATTTCAGTCATGATTCGATGATTAAAGTGCATAATTTCCCTGATATCTACATTAAATATCACCATTATCAGGAACGCCTGTTTTCTAACCCCGTGTGTTTTCTATATCTCTTACTCCTCCGTCTCTGACTGCTCCTCATCCTTCGCCGCCTCCTCCAGGTCTTCGATCTCCAGAGGATTATCCGGAGCGGCGTTAGCATTGTTAGCATCGTTAGCTCCTGCTGATTCCTGCCGAGGGCTGAAGACCCGACTCAGGTCCGGGAGGGAACAGGTCCTCAACATCTGTGACACAAGCAGAGGTCAATGCTGCAATGCACTCACACAGGAAGGGGGGGGGGAGGGGGTTAACCTTCAAACTTTTCCAAATGCAACATAAAAAAGTGAATAATCTGTAAATGTGTTTCAGCCAATCAGAGACAGGCTCTGTATATATCTGATATACTGTTGAAAGAGAGAATAACAGGGGACCACATGTACATAGTGATAACCCTAACAAGGTCAATTTATCCAATCAAAGGTCAAAAGCCATAAAAGTTGATGACGTTTTTCTCCGATGTCTCAACTTCCTGTGACATCAGAACAAAAACAATTGTTAGCGAATCGTTTAAAGACCCGTTTGCAATGTAGTATTTTATAGGGTCAAAGGTTTGGTTCTGTGAATTGAAAACATATAGCAAAAACTATTCAGACACTGTGTGGTTATTATTTTCCCCACGCACCAAACTGAAATTCTAACTGAAATTAATTGAGTATGAGGGGGGGGGGGGGTCTGACCTTTGGGTTGTTGGCGTCGAACATGCCGGTGGAGAGTCCGATCAGGAGGTCACGTTGCTGCCCGGCCCGGAGAGGAGAGACGGAGCGAGAGCGAGAGTTCAGAGACGAGGACGAGTCGTCGAGGGACGACTGAGCCGAGAGGAGGGCGGTCCGACGGTGGGCCGGGGAGAGAAGCTTCAGGAAGAGGGGCTCCTCCATCACTGATAGATCAGAGAGGAGATACACAGAGTCACTACAGAAGCTTCAGAGAGGAGATACACAGAGTCACTACAGAAGCTTCAGAGAGAAGAGTCACTACAGAAGCTTCAGAGAGGAGATACACAGAGTCACTACAGAAGCTTCAGAGAGAAGAGTCACTACAGAAGCTTCAGAGAGAAGAGTCACTACAGAAGCTTCAGAGAGAAGAGTCACTACAGAAGCTTCAGAGAGAAGAGTCACTACAGAAGCTTCAGAGAGGAGATACACAGAGTCACTACAGAAGCTTCAGAGAGAAGAGTCACTACAGAAGCTTCAGAGAGAAGAGTCACTACAGAAGCTTCAGAGAGAAGAGTCACTACAGAAGCTTCAGAGAGAAGATACACAGAAGCTTCAGAGAGAAGTCAAAAACGTGACCCTCGCCCAGTGCTGGAAACTAAGTACAAATTAGAGCAGGGGTGTCAAACTCAAATACACAGTGGACCAAAATAAACAAATGGGTACTAGTGGAGGGCCGGACTGGTTCAATGTTTATTGCAGAACGTATTGAAATGAACTTATTGCACATATTAAACCTGGAACTAACAAAGCTTCAATGATTGCCTATAAAAACAACATGAAACATTAAATAATCAGTTGCATTCATTTCTCATAGCTCTATCTGCAGCTTCTCCAGTCATTTCTTATGAGTACATTTCTCCACAGGCCAACAACAGCTTCAACAAAACTATTTCCCTCAAAGAGAAAACCAAACATGTGTCATCTCTCGCAAATGATGTTAGTTTAGTGTTTTTGTGTTCGTCTAGTGATTTTCCCCTTTAGTTGTGAACAGTAACCTTCCTTCTCGTTTCAAACTGTCTGAAATAAGATGCTCCATCTGTAGTATAGTGTTTTTGTGTTCGTCTAGTGATTCTCCCCTTTATTTGTGAATAGTAACCTTCCCTCTCGTTTCAAACTGTCTGAAATAAGATGCTCCATCTTTAGTTTAGTGTTTTTGTGTTCGTCTAGTGATTCTCCCCTTTATTTTTGAATAGTAACCTTCCCTCTCGTTTCAAACTGTCTGAAATAAGATGCTCCATCTTTAGTTTAGTGTTTTTGTGTTCGTCTAGTGATTCTCCCCTTTATTTGTGAACAGTAACCTTCCCTCTCGTTTCAGATACTCTGACCTCCCTTCCTTGTGTGTCTCCCACTCCTGTGATTGTCGACCCCGCCCCTGATTGTTTGCACCTGTTCCCCATGACCTGGTGTATTTATTGTCCTTGTCTCCCTTTGTCCTGTGCCAGTTCGTTTCGTTCCTTGTGACAAACAACCAGCGTATCAATCCAGGATTGCTCCCAAGCAGAGCTTTGAGCCACGTCTTATCTCAGTATTTGTGTTGTTCATGCTCCTAGTGTTTTTCCTCTTTAAGAGTGATTTTGGTTTTTGTACCACTATAGTTGAGCTTTGGTTTGAATAAAACCTTTTTTGTTAAATCCTGTGTGAGTTGTGCATTTGAGTTCATACCCGTTTAATCAGTCGTAACAACATGCCCTGTTGTCGTGAGAGACAAAGTGCAGAAGGAAACATGTGAACTCAGTGTGCTGCTCTGTGATGCTAGCTCAGATACTTGGCATCTCATCTTGGGTGCAAGTTCATCAATGTTTGGGGTCAGGCTCTGAGCTGAGGAGACCCTCAGGATGGAGTGAAGTTGTGCGTGCAATATGCCAGAGGGCCAGATATAATAGAAATTAGAAATTATCCTGCGGGCCGAAATTAAATCCACCACGGGCCTGATTTGGCCCCCGGGCCTTGAGTTTGACACATATGCTTTAGAGGTACTTTTACTAAAGTACCATATCTGAGTCCTCCTCTCTCCTCTCTCCTCTCTCCTCTCTCCTCTCTCCTCCCTCCTCCCTCCTCCCTCCTCCCTCCTCACCTGAAGGCTCTGCTGGCTTCTCCTCTCTCCTCTCAGCCTCCTTTCCTCCTGCAGGTCTTAGCACGCCTCCTGGTGGTCTGCAAGAGAATTACACTTTAGTTTCTCGTGGATTTACAGAATGATGTCTTCAATAAATAAGGGGAATATTTAGTTTGACATAATGCTGGAGTGAGGAAACTATGACAAACACAAACTATATAACGTCAGGGTTCCTGCAGCACAAGGCAAATTAAAGACCATCCAGAAACTTTGGCTTTCTAGATGTGTGTGATGCTAAGGTAGGAGGTTCAAGGGTCAAGGCTTTTATAATGAGATGTTACCAGAACAAATAAGTATTCTGTCTTAAACTGATATCACTTTTTATTATAAATTAGGGCCATCTTTATGAATAACTCATTCAGTGCCTTTTAAAACTCTCAGGGTGTTTGGACACGCTGTAAATGATGTTTCCCTATCCGTGTAGAAAACTGAAATAGAGCCGTTTTAGTGTGAGTGACGAAGTGAGCGACGAAGTGAGCGATGAAGTGAGCGACGAAGTGAGACTTGGTATGAAGGCAGGAGTTGATCAAACAGAAAGGCATTCACTCTTCCTTAAACACAGATGGAGGGTTACGCTTCCTGCTGCCAGGCCTGAGGAACATCAGCCCGGGGGAGAGGGGGGGGTTTAGGGGTCTCCTCCAACTCCATCGACTCTAGGTCTGCTGGATCTGGAACAAGTCAGAACAGATCAAATCAATCTCTATCAATGAGGAGCTGAGGTATCAGACGGTGCTCAGGTTGAGCGTTACCCTGGATCTCAGAGGGGTGAGGTGGCAGCGTCTCTCTTTCTGCTGCAGACGTTCCCTTCTGGGAGGAATCTGTGGACGCTGCACTTTGACCACCAGCAGGGGGCGCTGTCCTAACAGGGAACACTTCCTCTTTAGGCGTCCTCACCATCTCCCCTGCTCCCGACAGGTGAGGCTGATCTGAGGAGAGGAAGGCGGGGGTTCATACGCATCCCAGACAAAGTCAATAAAGATCATCTCAACAGAATGAGCTTCAAACTCTTGAAATGCAACTAAAACAGTCATTTAACGTTAATAAGCTTTATTTCAAAGCACTTTTCTTGCATCAGGTGCAGCTCGCTAAAAAGCCAGCTGAGGAGAACCTCAGGACATACAACGAGAGACTCGGTGAGATATGTGGGCGCCAAACCACTAAGAGCTTTAAAAACCAGTAGAATCATTTAGAAATCAATCCTGACTGAGCCACTGCTCAACATATAGAGATATGGATGGTCTATTATAACTAGACTAACCAGGGCTGTAGGAAGTGTCCCCAAAGAGGGACATGTCCCCACAGAGCGAGGTGTCCCCCAGGGTGAGGGGCTGCAGCTCCTGGAGGACCCTCAGGACCTGGGAGTCTGGACTGGATCTCCACACCTTCCTCCCCCCGTCCTCCTGCAGCATCTGAATCACCTCCCCCACCGTGTGCTCTGAGGACAGACAGGGGGACAAGGAGACATCAGAGAGAGACAAGGAGACATCAGAGAGAGAGACAAGGAGACATCAGAGAGAGAGACAAGGAGACATCAGAGAGAGGGACAAGGAGACATCAGAGAGAGGGACAAGGAGACATCAGAGAGAGGGACAAGGAGACATCAGAGAGAGAGACAAGGAGACATCAGAGAGAGAGACAAGGAGACATCAGAGAGAGAGATGATGAGACGTGTCTCAGGTGCAGACGAGACGTGTCTCAGGTGCAGACTAGACGTGTCTCAGGTGCAGACTAGACGTGTCTCAGGTGCAGACGAGACGTGTCTCAGGTGCAGACGAGACGTGTCTCAGGTGCAGACGAGACGTGTCTCAGGTGCAGACTAGACGTGTCTCAGGTGCAGACTAGACGTGTCTCAGGTGCAGACGAGACGTGTCTCAGGTGCAGACTAGACGTGTCTCAGGTGCAGACTAGACGTGTTTCAGGTGCAGACGAGACGTGGTTCAGGTGCAGACGAGACGTGTCTCAGGTGCAGACTAGACGTGTCTCAGGTGCAGACTAGACGTGTCTCAGGTGCAGACTAGACGTGTCTCAGGTGCAGACTAGACGTGGTTCAGGTGCAGACGAGACGCGTCTCAGGTGCAGACGAGACGCGTCTCAGGTGCAGACGAGACGCGTCTCAGGTGCAGATGTTCTGGTGTGTTCTGGGGGACGGGGGACTCACCGATGGTTCTGATGCTGGTCTCCTCCAGGGTGTTCTGGGCCTCAGACAGAACCAGAGGGACTCCAGCCTCCCACTTCCTCCTGTCGGCACCAGAGGACGGTCTCTCTGCAGGGTACACTGACGAGGCTGCAGAGAGAGACATGCAGTATTAACATGAACCTGTGTTAGAGACTGTATATCTGAATGAAGCTCCAGAGGTGTCTCCACTCACTGGCACAGGGACTGGCTGTGTAGCAGGTTTCCCCAAAGGTCAGCAGAGACACAGGAAGTTCAGGAAGTTCTGCAGCGTCCCACTTCCTGCGCTCTCCATTAGCAGCACCGGGACCTGGTTCTGAAGGAGGACCTGGTGCTGAAGGAGGACCTGGTTCTGAAGGAGGACCTGGTTCTGAAGGAGGACCTGGTTCTGAAGGAGGACCTGGTGCTGAAGGAGGACCTGGTTCTGAAGGAGGACCTGGTTCCAAAGATCGCAGAAGTACACACATCCTTTACTCAAGTAGAAGTACACACATCCTTTACTCAAGTAGAAGTACAGATACTCGTGTTTAAAAATACTCTGGTAAAAGTAGAAGTACTGACTAAACTTCTTCACTCAAGTAAAAGTAAAGAGGGCTTTGAAATGTACTTCAGTAAAAAGTACCCATAACTAGCAGCTGTTTTAAAGAGTACCTGACCTCCCTTTATATTAATAGAACAATAATGTCATTGTTAGCTAATGAATGTTTCCATGCTGAACAACAGCAACATGACAACGTTTTCATTGGTCCCTCTTCTTTAGAGAAGACCAGGAAATGATGGATACACGGATCGTGTTCAAATCAATAGGCAAGCAATGACTCTAAATAATAATGATCACGTCACCAAACACACATTCAAACTAAAGGAACCAGCCTGTTTGGAAAATGTGAGAAGTAGAAAGTACAGGTATTTGGGTTCAACATGTAAGAAGTAGAAAGTACAGGTATTTGGGTTCAACATGTAAGAAGTAGAAAGTACAGGTATTTGGGTTCAACATGTAAGAAGTAGAAAGTACAGGTATTTGGGTTCAACATGTAAGAAGTAGAAAGTACAGGTATTTGGGTTCAACATGTAAGAAGTAGAAAGTACAGGTATTTGGGTTCAACATGTAAGAAGTAGAAAGTACAGGTATTTGGGTTCAACATGTAAGAAGTAGAAAGTACAGGTATTTGGGTTCAACATGTAAGAAGTAGAAAGTACAGGTATTTGGGTTCAACATGTAAGAAGTAGAAAGTACAGGTATTTGTGTTCAACATGTAAGAAGTAGAAAGTACAGGTATTTGGGTTCAACATGTAAGAAGTAGAAAGTACAGGTATTTGTGTTCAACATGTAAGAAGTAGAAAGTACAGGTATATGTGTTCAACATGTAAGAAGTAGAAAGTACAGGTATTTGAGTTCAACATGTAAGAAGTCAAAGTAAGTACTCCACTACTTCCTACCTCTGCCTGGTTCTGCAGGAGGACCTGGTTCTGAAGGGGGGGGAACAGACTCCTCTTCCACTGGACTCTGGGCCTTCAGGTTCTGGTTCAGTCGGCGCAGGATCTGCTTCTTCTCACTCTGGACCATGGAAAGCGATTTATAATATTAGGTTTAGATATTTAACCAAGTCATTCAGCTGTTTTAGCTCAACCTGACCACAAGCAACCCGACCGCAAGCAACCCGACCGCAAGCAACCCGACCACCGACCACAACCAACCCGACCACAACCAACCCGACCACAAGCAACCCGACCACCGACCACAACCAACCCGACCCGACCACAAGCAACCCGACCACCGACCACAAGCAACCCGACCACCGACCACAACCAACCCGACCACCGACCACAACCAACCCGACCACCGACCACAACCAACCCAACCACCGACCACAACCAACCCGACCACAACCAACCCGACCACAAGCAACCCGACCACAAGCAACCCAACCACCGACCAACACAACCCGACCACAAGCAACCCGACCACAACCAACCCGACCACAACCACAACCCAACCCGACAACAAGCAACCCGACTACCGACCACAACCAACCCGACCACAAGCAACCCGACCACCGACCACAACCAACCCGACCACAACCAACCCGACCACAAGCAACCCGACCACCGACCACAAGCAACCCGACCACAACCAACCCGACCACACCAACCACCGACCACAAGGCAACCCGACCACCGACCACAAGCAACCCGACCACCGACCACAACCAAACCCGACCACCGACCAGCAACCACAACCCGACCACACCAACCCGACCACAAGCAACCCGACCACCGTACCACAACCACCCGACCCACAAGCAACACCCGACCACAAACCACACCCAACCCCACACGCAACCCGACCACCGACCACAACCAACCCGACCACAAGCAACCCCGACCAAGCAACCCGACCAACAAGCAAACCCGACATACTAAGCAAAACCCGAAAAAAAAAACCACCCGACACAACACAAACCCGACCACAAGCAACCCGACCACAACCAACCAGACCACAACCAACCCGACCACAACCAACCCGACCACAACCAACCCGACCACAAGCAACCCGACCACAAGCAACCCGACCACAAGCAACCCGACCACAAGCAACCCGACCAAACTCATAATTTTGGGATGCAATTGTTACTTTGAGAAATTAGTCAAGTTGAAATAGAAGCGAAGAGAACAAAAAAGTGTGTTATTTTATATTTATTAAACATGTTTTAAACCACAACAGGTTAAGGTTCTATTTTTGAACATAGAGTGCACGCCCTCACTAGCAACCTCAAATAAAATGGAAGCTCAGGTAGTTTGTAGTTCCTCCTCGCCTCCAACCACGTCGCTTTCATGTTGAATGATGCAGCTGGAAGCAGGAGGAACACATTTTGGAGGAGCTCAAACTTCCTGAAGCATTCTCTGTCACTCTGTAACTTCATATGCCATGACCACTGAGTGGACTTCCACATCAAGGAGGTGATGTCCAACAAGGGTCATCAATACTGTCAATACTATGGAATCAAGGGCAACTAAATGCACTAAAATACCTTAAGTTTCCCTCAAGTATTACACTTAATGTACTGCAACAGCTTAACAGCACTGCAGCTGATTCAAAGCTATTAAAGGGTACAGTTCATACGGGACATGTGCTTGATGTAGTCACACGAGTGATGTATTCACAAAGCTGGCCTTTAGAGAGTGGACATTTGCAGATGAAAATAAGACAATTAACCAAATAACTCGGGGGAGGAAAGGGATATACTTCAGCAGGAATACAATAAAAGAAATCACTAAAAAAGTAGATTTGATCTGCAAAAAAACAGCCAATAGAAATCAGACAGACGCAATGATTGTTGATTCGAAGTCTGTAGGTAGAAAAGACTTTGGTTGGTGTGGAATTTTATTGGATTTCCTCAAGTAAAAGATAAGGATGAAACAAACTGGAAATACTTAAGTGAAGGTTTTCATGGAAAAAGACTTAAAGAAAGACTTATTTAGAGAAACCCGTTTTCTTCTAATGAAGCCTCAACATGTGTTTTGTTTGGATCAGGGTGCTGTCACTGACCGGCTGATGTGAGCAGCTTTAGAGCCGTGCTGCAGACGCTGCAGTTCCCTCTTGATGGCGTCCGGGTTCAGGACCCGGGCCGGGCTGCTGGGCAGAACCGGGCCTGCAGCCGCCGGGACCCTGCAGGGGACCAGAAGACACACTGAAATCTCCTTAAATACAGGGAAGGGGCTGTACAGGATATCAGCTTTTATATTCAAAGATCCTACTGATGAAGACTTTTTGTTATGGTTATTTCATTTCACAACCAGTATAATATATATATATAAGTGTGCATGTTTTGTTTTAAAATAACTGCCATGTGTGGAATAAACAAATAAATAAAAGTGAACTCTGAGTACCTGAACGCACCGTGCCGGGCTGCCTGGTGCCGGAGACGCGCCTCTCATCTGGTCCAGCGCAGATTGTTTTCCGTAGTAGTTACCCATTTTTATTTTACTTTAAAGAAAAGTCAAAGTATCGAAAAAGAAAATCCCTGGCTTCAATCAACCGCTGGTTATTAGTCTTCTTCCTCTCCATCCAGCTCGGCATGGATCTTTTCAAGTCTCTCCTTGAGGCGTCTGCAGTTTTTGAGATTGTGCAGAAAAGCCTCCGAAGCGCCTTGGATCCTCCATTCAGCCGTGTAAATGTTTTTATCATTAAGACTCTGGTCAATCGCAGTAATGAAGTCGGCGAGCCAAAGTCTTTTCATTAACGCGTTGTAATTGTTTCTGAAGAAATATTCTGGAATGTCATTCAGACAATCGTGTTGCCTCTGGCCGGGGTGACTGACTCGGCATCCATTGCAGATTTCTTCTCTGTACCGACGCAGCACCCTCTCCAGAATATCAACCAACTCCGATTTCACTATGTTCAAAAACAGAGACGTCTTGGCCCAAGGAGTAACATCAGCAGCAGTAGTACTGCAAGATTTGGGTGTCCACAATGGTGGTGACGATAGTAGTCCAGGAGTTTGTTCCTGGCTGCAACTCGCGGGGGGAGACTTGGTTTTTCTCAGATCCCTAGCTAGTTTTCAATGGTCGTCAGTGGGTCCTTCATTTTAGATGATTTGCTGAGTGGGGGGTGGACTTATTGCGTTGAGTGGGGGGAGTCATCTGTAGAATTGAGAGTTTTTAGAAAAGTTCTTTAAGCTTTGTAGCTTTTTCATCTATCATTTTCAACCAAGCAGCAAGAGGTCAAATTTAAGCATAAGTAATAGTTTGTCACGATTTTACGGAAAAAGTCAAAGTATAGTTTGTCAGAAAAAAAATATATATATATATATATATATATATGGAAAAGTCATTGTGTATGTTGAAAAACAAAAACCAAAAATAAAACTCAATTCATTACAAAATAATGAATATTTTACCAAGTTATAAAGTTTTGCATCCATTAAAGTGTAACTATAAGTATCTTTGTAGGAGAAAAAACTAAAATAATTTAAGTTACTTCCATAAAACTGGATTGTCTTGCCTTTAAGAGTCACAGTCTTAAAGAAAATCTGTTCAGAAAAAGTACTTAACTTTCTACCAGTTGTAAAGTTGTCATACATAAAACTGTATCCAAAAAGTAAGTGAAAGACAACGGGAGAAAAAAAATAAAAGTGTTAAAATCACCAACTTCCCTTTTAGAGTCACAGTCTTTAAGAAAATACATTTGTTACAAAGTAATTGACATTCTACCAGTTGCCAAATGTTCCTACATAAAAGTGTATCAAAAAAGTATCTTGGTAGCTGAAAATAACTAAAATATCAGAGAAAACCTACATTATTTAACTGTACAAGTGTTTTTAAAAATAAAAAATGGGGTATTAAAGAAACCCCCATTCCTTACAAAGTACTTCATATTATACCCTTTTGTTAAGTGTTGCATACATCAAAGTGTATCTAAAAGTATCTTGGTAACACAAGAAAAGAGAAAAAAGTCAAATTCTGCCTTGTGTCAGTAAATAAGTGTTAAAAATCACAAACTTGCCTTTTAGAAAAACAGTCTTTAAGAAAAAATCTAATCAGACAATGTACTTCATTTTCTAGTTTTAAGGTTTTGCATACCTCAAAGTGTGTCTAAAAGTATCTTGGCAAGAGAAAAAAGCCATAATCTGCCTTGTGTCAGTGAATAAGTGTTAAAATCACAAATTTATAGATAAGCTAGAGGCTATTTTAGATTTGTCAATTAGAGTTGAAGGGTTAAATAACATTTTCAAACTGCTGTTCATAGTTACTGGATACATAACGAACCTCATCATTATCTCGATTTTCTACTTCCATTTTTATTTAACAGTGAAACGTCTTATTCTCAGATCCATGGCTAGTTTTCAACGGTCGTCTTAGTGGGGTCCTTAGTTTTGGATGATTTGCTGATGATTTGGGACTTATTGCGTTGACTTATTGCGTTGAGTGGGGGGGAGTCATCTGTAGAAATGAGAGTTTCTTTCACCCGTATAATGTCCCTCGCTGTTTGACTCTTTTTAAAAAGTTATTTTTCATCTATCATTTTCAACCAAGCAGCATGAGGTCAAATTTAATAATAAGTAATAGTTTGTCACGATTTTACGGGAAAAAGTCAGAGTGCAATGTCACATCTTAAAGACAGCTTGAACTGGATAGATGGTTAGTTTTTTTTTCAAACATACCATATGTTCTGCATGTTAGTATATTAGGCCAATCGGGTTAGGCCCTACTGACCCACTCCCTCAATAGGGAAGTCACGCTTTGGGGAGAGGTGTTTAATTTCACAGATCTGACTTGATTGTTGTTGTGATGGCTGAAGTAAGAGGGACGGGGGAGGAAAATTCAGAGGGTGAAGAAGCAGAAAGATAACTTGTTTGTAAAACGGACAGCTCGTCAGTTTCAGGAAAGATGACACCGGTTTTATGCATGACATGCCAAACATCCTGAAGCCCTACAAAAAAAAAAAAATGTACAAGTATATTGTGTTGAAAATATCGCAAAAAGTCGTAATATTGTATAATGTATTAGTTGCATGTTGTATTTTGATAAAAATCACTGTATATTCAAAAATATAATGGAAAAAGGAGAGAAAAAACAAATATCACAGTATGTTGAAAAATATGAAAAAGTAATGTTGTGTTAAAATAACATGAAAGAAATCAAAGTAAAGCATCTAAAAACATATATTTAAAAAAAGTAATGTTAGTCAAGTAATTCATTACAAATGAATGAATATACCAAGAGTAGTGTTACCAATCCCGCTTCAATCTCATTAGTATGCATAAAAAAGTGACAGGTCACACCTTCTAAGTCCCGCCCCCTAATTATGCTAATGAGCCCCTTTGATATGCTAATGAGCCCCTTTGATATGCTAATGAGCCCCTTTGTTCGAGGTGTTATCGCGTATAGGTGTTACATCCCCCCGGTAGCCCCCACCCCCCTCAGCCAGCCCCCCTCCCCCTCACATACAGGTGTTACATCCTCACCGGTAGCCCCCACCCTTCTCAGCCCCCACCCTTCTCAGCCCCCACCCTTCTCAGCCCCCACCCCGCTCAGCCCCCACCCTCTCAACCCACCCCCTCCTTACAGCAGGTTTCACATCCCCCCTGTCGCCCCCACCCCCCTCCTCAGCCCCCATCCCTCTCAACCCCCTCCTCCTCCCCCCCTCCTGTCCGGTCGGCCTGTTCGTTACAGTTTAAATCTTCCGAGGCAGAATTAGAAAAGTGCCGGTTAAAGGTCTTCTATGTTATTTAATGAGCTTTGAAACAAACTGATATGATTCGATATTAAACCAACTAATTATAGTAGATTAATTAACTATTCAAAAACGTGTACAGTAATTTACAATAACACGGGAATAATAAACGGACTGCTCTCCCCCTCCTGACAACACGACAGTATCAAAGTCGCGGGTCCAATAATGAGTGACTCGACAGTAAAACTAAAACATATCTATAAATAGTTTATGTAGTTTGAGAGGTAAATAAAATAGCTACGTGTGATATCTGAAGAGTGTGTTTTGTTCCGCTCACCGCATGCAGAGATGCATGTCGAATAGTCCGCAGCATCGGATCTCCCCCTGTCAGCAACAGCGGGTCTCCCCCGTCAGATTAGACTTTACTAGCGTTTATGTCCATGCGCAATCAGCCCCTACAGGACATCTTTTGTCTGTCACACACA